AATGGCTGACTGCCTGGATGGCTCGCTGGCTCGCTGGCTGGCAGCATCATTTGGCGTGTTTGTTTTGGTTTTTGGCTAAAAGTAAATTAAGTGCCAATGTTAATGGCAGTTATGGCCGGCATCTGGATCAGGATCTGAGCAGACAACAAAGCATTCGGCCATTTGGGTGTCTTAATGCTGCAGTAATAATAGCTAAAAGTGTGTATAGAGCCGCAGATAGTAGCACAAGATTTATGAGCTACTTCTGTGTGGCACGGAGGCACAGCTCGATGCCCCCGATGTACAAGGAGAGCTGGAGTTGAATTTGATATTTAAAACACATTACGAGCTATAGAGCATATAGGGAAATTAATTGATTAGCTGATTTGCAATGCAATCATAAACATGGCCGAGCAAGCAGCTCAAAAGAACACTGCAAAGCGGCTATAATTGGCCAGGCATCCCCAGACAATTCGATTAAAGTTAAGCTGCGCTACAAGCCAGTCGACTGAGTGGCTTGCGGTTCCCATGTTTCCCAAGCCTAACCAGCCAACCAGCCAGCCAGCCACAAATAATATAACAATTTAAATAACAAGCATGGAGCAGGCAAACACCAAACGCGTTAGTTAGATAGATTGATCTACATGTACACGACAACAACGTGGCCAAGTGGCTCTGACTCCAGCTCTGGCTCTGGCCCTGACTCCAGGCTCTAGGCTCCTTGTTGCCAGCTTGCACAGCGTTGTGTACTCTGCAGACAGACAGACACGGACAGCGCTGCTGGGCTGCTGGCTGGGTTAGCAGAAGGCTGCCAAGGCAGGCCAAGAGCATGTCAAAACAAAATAACATCTTTAGCGCGCAAACATGACAAAACATCAGAATTCCAGCAGATTAACGTCAATTTTAATTGCATTCACTTAGCCAAGGCAGACGAGGCTCCGTTGTCTATGAGAGCCTTAGCACAGAGCCACAGCAGAAAATATGCATACCTACAAAGGAAAACAGCCAGAAACAAAAAAAAAAAAAGGTTGCCCAAACCAAAAGGTGGAAAATTCTATGACAATGTTTACATACTTTTCACACTCTACGCTGAAATGACGAAAATGATTAGAAATGAAATTATGCAAACAAACTATAGATTTAATTTAAAAACTAAAAAAAATATAAGTAATACACAAATAAAAAAAATATTTATTTTTCAATATGTTTTCAATATCAATATTATTTTTTATACATTTTTTATTAAATTAATTAAATTGTAAATAATATTTAAAAATATATTTAGCTTAAAATACATACCAAGTTATTTTTGATAATCTTGTTATATATTTATCATTATTGCAAATTATTTCAAATTATTTTATTAACGTCTTTGAAAAAAAAAAAATACTTATTATAATTTAAAAAATATATAAAAAAAACTGCTATATATACATATTTTTTTTAATAATAATAATAAAATATGTAAAATATATATATATAAATATATGAATATATATGTATTTTATTTGTAATCAAAATATATATTTTAATTAAGCTTTATAAGCAAAGCATATATAAGTATTTTATAGATTCTTAATGAAGAAAACACATTTTAGCTTAAATTTGTACCAGCATATTTAGTTTTATGCCTTGAAAAAATAACAAATAATATTCTCTGTCATCTACTATTCTCAGCAAAAAACAGATGAAGAGTTGAAGAAAAAAAACAAATATTAATGCAACAAAAAAATGCATCTCAACTTTAATATCCACACAGCTCGCTTTATCGTTGCCAATTGTGCAGGTGTTATTCTAAGCAAGTCAGGCTTAACCACAAAGTGATTATACCTCTTGCTAGTGCATTAAAAATAAAAAGAGATACAAAATCCATACAACAAAAGGGCTTAAGTCTGCCTGGCACCAAGCAGCTTAGCCAGCAGCAGCAGCAACTGCAGCAGCAGCAGCAGCAGCAGCAGCAAGGCAAACAGAGAGTTCCACAAGGTTGTGATTAACATGCGATAAAAAATGAGGCAGGCAGCGTTCTAGCTGGCAACTGGCACCATACCAGGCCAGACAGAGTCCGACTGGACCCGAACATGAAACTGGACGCTGTCTGCCCGCTGTTCACTGTTCACTGTTCACTGTTCACTGTTCACTCTTTGGCTGTTTGGCTGCTGGGTCGGGAGCTTGAGCTGCTCGGTCAGTTGGCTTACGTGTTTGCATTAGCAGAAGTGCAACTGCAAGTGCGGGACCCTCGACTCGACTCGACTCGCTTTGACTCGACAGCAGCGCACAAAAGTTAAGTGTCTGGCTGTCACATGCGATTTGCACCTGCCGGATGAGCAATGGGCCAGTCGCGAGCTGCGAGCTGGCCGGGCTCATGGCTCACGGCTCACGGCTCTTTTGCGTGGATTATTTATCATCTGCGCCACATCAGAGCGAGAGCGAGAGCGAGAGGCTAAGTTGCGTTTAAGTTAAGCAGACTAACAGCAGTGCATGCAAAGGCTCAGATGCACGCTTGCCAGATTCCTTTCGTGGACTATAATCAGGGCCAGGGAATGCGCACAGCCACAGAGTCAGCCTCAGCTACAGCCACAGCCTCGAATTTTATGTTCATAAATTTTAATATTTTAATTTTGAGGCAGACCAATGAACACATAAAACGAGCCATTAACTGACCGGAATGGGCATTCCTAGTGAGACTTTGTAAACATAAAGCCAAATGCAATTTCTTGCTAAACTCTGTTCCAGTTTTAGTTCTTGTTCCTGCACACCATGGAATTGACTGGCTGCTGTTGTTATATGTAGTTGTTGTTGTTGTTGTTGTGGTCTTAGCTGCAGCAACGGGTCTTACATTTCCTGTGAATTCTGTGCTTTGATTTTAGGAAAATTAACAACAGCTCAAACAACCAACCAACCAGCCAACCAGTCGAGTCAACATTACGGCCCAAACGAATCAGCGTCATCATCAACGGCAGCAGTAATCCAAACAGCGATAACTTGAGAATTAAATGGGATTTGAACGAATACTAAATGCGCTGCATAAGGTAATTAAAAAAGAAAATAAATAAAACAAGTTTTTTGTCAGAAATTAAATTTCTTTTAATATTATTTTATATGCTGGTATATTAAAAGAACACTTTTAAGCTAGAGCAAGGGAGAAGAGTTTCGTCTTTAAGCAGAGAGAGCTTATATTTAGTTAGGAAAAATTTAAAATAGCCCAAAGGCAGTTCTAAATAATATATGAAGATTAAATATGTTACAAATTATAAGAAAATTTTTAAAAATATTTTATTTATATTACAAATCAAAATAATATAAAAATTGGCATGAAACAGACAAAAAAATAACAAAAATATTTAAATAATTAATAAAATATAATAATAAATAAATTGAAATATTATTAATTTATATATAATTGCTCAATTCCGAAGTAATAAAAAATAAATATAAATTATAAATAAATAAATTATTAATCATATCATTTATTAATCATATGTAGCATAGCCTTCAAAGCGCTTTCAGATTAATATATGTACATTTTTCTATTAAAATATATATACATATATCATTCTCCAATACGAAACTACTTTGGCGCTAGTCGTTGCTACCCTTCCACTCAGTTGTTAGGGCATTTGGAGCGGCGTGCAGTCATTCGTATTGCAGCATGGCATGTTGTTTGCTTGGCTGGTTCCATTTGCCCCTCGGCTTCTTCGGCTGCTTGGCTCTGGCTGTGCCCCTGACTTGACAACGAGACCCCAATGATGCCACTGCCATGGTACGCTGGCTTGACTTGGCTCTCTGGCTCTGGCTCTGGCTACGCTTGTTTGGTTTAGCTTGGCCGCAACGGCTAAACAGGTTAAAATGTCGTTCAAAATGTCAAGTCAACACTTTGATGTTGTCCGTGTCGTCCCGTCCGTGTGCGCTGCAGTCGAGCGAGCAGCTAAAAACCGCTGCCAAACGTCGCTCTGCAACTTCAAACTGCAATGCCAAAGAGTTGCTGCTGTTGCTGTTGTTGTTGCTGTTGCAGCTGAAGCCACTGTTTGCGTGTGATCTGCGCTTTATTTATGCAACATTCAGCACACGACGAAACATGCAACATTGCCGAAATTGTTAAGTGCAGACGTCGTGCTGTCTATGTAGATGTCCATGTCGATGTCGACGTCAATGCTGGATGCTCGATGTTGGCTGTTGGCTGTTGGATGTGCGGATGGGAGTGTGTGTGTGTGGATGTGTTGGCACTGTCATTGTCCAGGCGTCGTTGGGTCGGTAATTGCGCAAATGCAACAGTAGCGACACATGTGGAAATGAGGTCGACAATTAGAAAGGGCTGCCGATGGCTGGGAAAACAAGGATTGCAGGAAGTTCTGCAATCTGCTTACAGACGGAAAAGTAAAGTCTTAAGCTGAGTGCAATGAAATGAAAAAAGAATAATATATACAGTTTATGAACATTCGAAATGTTAAAATATTGAAAAAACTATACATATAAGAAAAGAAAACATATAGTAAATACATTTTTTTACTACAGAAAAATCTAAAGTCTAATAGAAAATCTTTGAGCTTTTAAATAAATATGTAAAACTAAGAAAAATAAAATAAAATAAATAAATACATTTTGTTTACAGTGAGCAAACCCCAAGAGCTTTTCGTCTCAGCGCGCAAGAAAATAAAATATATTTTTACTTAAAATGTTTACATTTTCCTGCTCAAATTTCAATTATTACTCTTGATTCTCTTATTTCTCATGCTTAAATATGAACAAAAATATATATGAATAATCTTGCAATAAGGAAACTCGATAACTTTTCAGACCGAGTTATAAAATAACAAAAATCTATTTTGGTATAAAATTTGTTTACATTATTAGATTATCATTTTCTTTTTTTTTTTTAAGTTTTCTCATATATTTTTTCTCGAAAAATATACAAACTAGTCCCAAATTTAAAACATCGACTTGACACTTTACTTGACTATTTGCTAGCCGCACAAAAAAATCGAACGCAATGAATGAATGCTCTCTCTCTCTCTCTCTCTCTCTCTCTCTCCAAGCTGATGCTAATAGTTTCGGTTCTTGCCCGTGGCAGTCATGTGCTCAGCGCCGACCATGTTGCGTACCGCATACGTGGGCCGCAGTATGATGAAGCTGACAATGAGATCGTCATTGACAACCATCACGGCGCCGGCATTGTCGAACATGCCGCAATAGTTCGGGGCGGAGAAGATGGTGACCAGTTGGCGGCGTGCGAAGAACTCGTAGCCATCCTCGACAACCTGATGGGCGCGACAGATGACATCGACGCCCATGCGAAAGCAGAAATTGCGCACCACATCGGCGCCGAAGGTGACGCTAACGCCGCGATCGTTGCCGCCCCAGCCCATCACCTTGTCGTCGGGATCGCTCCACAGCAGATCACAGATCAGACCCTGTTCGGGTATGTCGCAGGGTCGCTTGATGGCCAATATGTCGTCGAAGCTCCTCAGGCTGGGACTGAGCCCGCCGTGCACGCAAAAGATGCGCCCGCCCACCAATGCTGCCAGCGGCATGCAGTCGTAGGTGTCCACAAAGTAGCGCCAGAGCTTTATCGAGTACCGACGCTTGCACTCGTCGTAGAAGCCGTAGATGCGATTGATGCTGGCGCACTCGTGGTTGCCGCGCAGCAGCCACATCACGTGCGGGTAGCGCACCTTGTAGGCCAGCAGCAGTGTGAACGTCTCAATGGACAGCTTGCCACGGTCCACGTAATCGCCCAGAAACAGATATCTGGAGGCCGGCGGATAGCCGCCCGAATGCAAGATCCTCAGCAGATCAACAAACTGTCCGTGCACATCCCCACAGATCTTCACTGGCGGCCGGATCTCCAAGAGCGATCGCTCCCTCAGAAATATGGGCCTGGCCTCCATGCACACGAAACGTATCTGATTCTCCGTCAGATTGGCCCCCTGTGCAGGATTCTCGCAGTTGACAATATCCCTGATTATCCGATTGATGTCCAGCGCTTGCGCTGGCGGCGTCATGCTCTGAGTAGCTCTCGCATGCGAATGCCGTTGCGCAGAGAAGGAGTCATTGGTTCGCTTTGCCATTTTGTACAACAAATTCAGAATTTAGTTTCGACAAAAAATACATTTACTACTGATTTCATTTAAAACAAAAAGCCAAACTAATTATGTATATGCAAAAATATTTATTTCTTTTAATTATTGGGGATTAAAAATTAGTTAGAAAATATATTTAAATAATATTTATGTTTTCTAGCTACTTAATTTACTTTAAATATAAAAAATATATTTTAAATTCACCTTATATTTAAAAATAATAAATAAATAAAAACCAAAATGATATATATATTTTTTAAGGAAATATAGCTATTATAAAATACATAAGTATGTATACAACTTTTTTAAAATTATATATTATAATTTTATGAATTGTTCAAAATAATTTTTTTTATTAAATAATAAGGAACAAATTTATAAATTAATTTTAATGTTTATCTGAGTACTAATTTATTTATATATTTTTATTAATATACCAATATAGTAAATAAATATTTTAAGCTTTAATGAACCAATTTTAAAATAATAAATTAGTTAAAAGTCTAGGTATTTATTTATAATATTTTTATTATATTATTAAATTATCTAGTCCATCCCATTTTGAATGACATTTATTAAAACACAGCTACTCATATTTTATATCATTTTCAGCGCCCCAGTTTGGGCGCCTAATATGCAGTCGCACCTGCCTTCGCCTCTCTAGGCTGTCAAAATGTTGCCCAAAAGGCTGAGGCTGACTCTAAAGCTGAGGCTGAGGCTGAACTAAAGTTGTTGCAATTCTGAGAATATTTTACGCTTGTTGAAGTTGACGACAACGTGGAAGCCACCGCCAACGATGTTGATGTCGATGTTGGCTGCTCGGCAGCAAGCTGAAGCTGAAGCTGAAGCTGGTTAAGGTGTGAAAGAGAAAGAGAGAGATGGAGAGAGTGAAGAGTGGGAGGGCGAGGTAGCGACCGCAGTGCTAGGGATTCGTGTTTTGTTTTCTTTGCACTTCAGTTGTATCACATCAATGGCCATTGTGTACGTCAACTTTGATGTTTCGGCAAAAGTTGTGAAGTGTGAGGTTTTAGACGTTCTTATTGCACTTTGCCGCAACCAGCTGCTAGCGAGCCGGCGGTCAGAGCTGGCTATCGCTGCTCGGACTCCAAGAGTCCGAAACTACCGACTTGACAGGTGAAGAATGCCAAAAAGAAAGAAAGAAATAAAGAAAAAATAAAAGATTCAAGTGGCTCTGTTGCCCGGCTTGGTATGGTCCGACCTGCCGTGTTGGCCACTTCAAAATCAACTCAAGCCTTTTAGACGGAAAGCGCAACCAAAAGCAACAACAGCAACCACAACTGATGGCTGGAAAAATCGACACAAGGCAGGAGTCAAAGTCGAGTCGAGTCGAGTCAAGTCGAGTCTGTTGCTTGATTTCGTATTTATTTTGTTTACACGTTTCCTTTGAATTTTCTGTTCTAATTGAGTGAGAAGTGCGATGAGCTTGCAGTTTTCCATCACACATCCAGAGAGCTCCATCATCATCATCATCATCGTAATCATCATGGCCTTCATCATTATCGGCATTATTATCAACATCATCAGTTGCAACGTTTTTACGCGGTTTTAATTGGATTTTCATACCTGTCCCGCGATGTTTGATTGGTGTTTGTATAATGAACTTGCAATATTCTCCAGCCCATGCCCAGCCCCGATCCAGATCCAGATCGCTGTCGAACAGCTGCTCTTGTTATTGTTATTGTTCGACTCGTAGAGCCCGTGAAATTTAACACACATCATCGTGTTCGCTCCTCAAACGTCAAACAGCTCTGCTCTGCTCCGCTCTACTCTCCTCTTTCTCCCTCTGCTCTCCTTTCTCCATCGCAACACTAAGAAAATAAAAGTTCTTCAGCGCGCGTATTATTGGTTGATTGTACGTGACTTTGTTTATTTAATTTATGTTATTATTGCCTGATTAAGTGTGGCCAGGGCCCCCCAAAAAAAAAGGGTTTATGTTATTTCATTAAAAATTGATTAGTGTTAAGGTACACAAACTTGCTGAGCTAAATAACAATGTAATTACGTAGGGTTCGGGCGTGGACCAAGCTCAACAAAAGGAAAGTGGAGCTGGAAAGGAGCTGCTGACTGGCTATTACAGGGTATTGTTATGCCAGCAGCAGGAAATATGAGTGGACAGAAATCAAATGTGTGAAACAGGCAGCAGGAAGTGTAATTTGTGAGCGTTCTTAAAGTTAGAAATGAATCAATTGATGGCTATATAAACGAATTGCATATATTTTTTAGTATATTATTTAGCTATTATTTGATTATTTTTTATAAACTATAACATTTTTTATATAATCATAAATTATATTTATATATAAATTAATTATCATTTATGATATAATATATTATATGTTATTACAAAATATACGATAGCTCTATTAAAGTATTACACTTTATTTATTTTAAAATATTTTTATTATATTTTATTTATATATTTATTAATTCTCTTATATTTATCTATTTTTTTTTTTTTTTTCATTAAAGTATATCTATACATTATTAAATATTTTTAAAATTTTTATAAATGTTCCATAAATAATTTAAATCAATTAGTATTTATTTAATTATTTAATTATTATTATTCACAGACTATTATTAATTTTTATTTATTTATTTTTATATATTTTTATTTTTATATTTATTTGTTGTTTTTTTTATTTATTTATTTTATTTATTAATTTATTATTATTTTTTTTTTTATTATTATTATTTATTTAAAGCTAATTGTTCATAATAAACTATAGTCTTGCTTAGTCTGTGCTAAACAAAAGCAGCCGACAATGATTGTCGTGCTGTGCTCTACTAAATGTTCGTCTATGACTGTGTATATCTAATTTATATTATTTTAGAGAGCTGTCGACAACCGAACATTTGCTCCCATCGAACGGATTCTAGTTATGCTCAAAGTACGAACGCCGTCTCAACACGATCAAGCCGATGCCCTCTGAGAACGAATACACATATAACGAAATGTGAGCTGTATATTCAGATGGCGACGATCTCTTTGCAAACACGAATCTCTAACTATAGAGTCAAATGCCGCTCTCAAATTTGAGTCAATTCCACTGACAAATAATAACAAAGATTCATAAGAGACTGAGTGCATTGGCGTTATATATAAATATATAAATTACTGAACTGAAATAAGAGTCAAGTAGAAGAAGCGAAGTACCTTAAAAATGTGTTTATGTGTGTAAATTCCGATAAGAGTTCAAGTAAATGAATCTCGACTCGCGGCTCCCCTGCCGACTAGAGCTCAATTACTTATTTCGAATCAGATTTTGGCTAACAAAAAAAGAGCCACAAAGAAAAAGTTGTAAAACACATTTTACGTCTAATTAACAAGTCGGCAAAAGTTGTGGGATGCCAACAATACAGAGGCACAAATACATATATAAGCATACACATATGCATGCATACACATATACATACATATGTAGACTGCAACACATACGAGCAGCTCCTGCTCTTCTGCGCAATCTAATTGCAATAAAAAATAGTTAAACAAAATACACATATACAAAGTAATAAACACGCCTGCCTCGCGGCCATTTTATGGGCTGGAAAGTAAAGCCAAACAGAATGAAAATTCATCATATCTGGAGCATGGAGCACTCCTAATGAGCAGCGCGGCCAAGGAACTGCAATGCGCTTTTTAATGGGCCCATAAAAATGTGCCAAGTGGGTAGGCAGCGGCGCTGTTTATGATCAAAATAACAAAACAGAAAACAACAAAAAAATATAAATGAAGAAGCCAACCGAAAGACGACAGAAAGTAAAAAATGGTAAATTAAATGGCTGCAATAATTAAAACACCTGTTTTAATTAGATAGAAATGCATGTACAAGGTTTTCATTCATGGGTTGGGGCAAGACGATGGATTTTCCATGTGAACTCGAGCAGCGGGCATGCGAAGAAAAATATGTTGAAAGTTCCTTTGGGTGCTAAACTGCAGACACAATTAATGGATTGTCGGCGGCATCAAAGTTCCGAGCAGAACAGCTCTATCATAACTGGATGGCAGTCGCTTCTTGCTTCTCGCTTCTCGCTTCTTTCTCGCTTCTCTGTTGTCGATTGTCGGGTGTGGCAGCTGCAACCTCGCTGAGCTGTTTAGCTGGAAAAGTTGGCAAAGCGTTTAACGATTTACCGCTAGTTGAGCTCATGCAACGTTTTTCCTCGGCTTTGTGGGCTGCACCCTTTGACTGCGACCACAAATATGCCAAAACATGATCATCAGCATTTGTCATTTGAATGTCTTGAGAAGCCCTAATCCTTTGGGCTTGACTCGAACTGTGGCTCGCCGCCTCCTGCTTACCTGTCAAACTCTAACAATGAGCATAGCATTCCAATTCAGGTTTTATATTTTTTCTTTGCTGCTGCTGCTGCTTCTGCTTCTACTTCAAATGAAGTGCATTCATCCGGTGGCAATCCTTTTTTTTTCACTTGAATTTCCGTTGACATCCTGCAGACGAATTGTGCTCGTCCTCTGTCTGTTGTTGTCTATACATATAAATATATATGTATGTATGTAAGGAGCATCGCTGACATATCCTTTAAGCATGATTAAAAACGTAGAGTAAATGAAAATTGTTTTGTGCTTACGCCTCTTAGCACACCTTGAAAACAACAACAAAGGATCTCCTTTCCATGCAACTGCACTGAACTTGAGCTGGAAACGAAAGAGAAAAAGAGAGAGAGAGAGAGTATAGAATAGAGAAGTCTGTAGAGGAGTTGTTGGAAACAATAGACAACGGCCTTCCTGTTGTAGGCTCCCTGCACCAGCTTCCATATGCACTTAAAACTCTACAGATTTTCCCACTTAGTGATAAAGTTGCCGTTGAATGGCCCGACAGTTGCCTATTGTCTAGGACAACGCCTACCAAATAAGCCTGAGACGGTGGGCGGTGAACAGGGCAGTGGAGTCAGGTAGGGGCGAGCGCCTTGCGATTTCATGCTTAAATGGAGTCGTTAAATTATTTTCTGAAATTGAGCCGAGTCAAGTCGAGGCGAGCCGTTGCTCTGTGTGC